GCTTGGGAGTGGGGCTGGTGATTAGGGTGGGGGGGAGGGGTTGGACGCTGGGCCGGCGGAGCAGGGCTGGGCTGCCTGCACAGGGGCTTGTGGGAGCTTGTCGAACACAGAGGGGTGGCTGCTGCGTTGTGTTGAGGAGACAGGTGCGGGGGACGCAGGTGTGCAGGTGCGTGGGGACGCGCTCAGCGCCACGGCAGCTGGCGGCCAGGGAGCCAGGACCTCCGAGCATGGCGGCGGCTCGCCGCCCTCCAGGCCGCTTCACTCCCTGCCCTATGAGCAGCGCTGCAAAGGCCCTGCTCCACCGTGCCACCCCCCACCCCCCCAAAACAAGGTCGTCCCCCTGGCGGAGCTGGAGCCGGAGACCCTGGCCTGGTGCCGCCAGATCACCTCCAACAGCCCCACCGCGCTGCGGCTGCTCAAGTCCGCGCTCAACGCCGCGGAAGACGGGCAGGCGGGCATCCAGCAGCTAGGGGGCGACGCCACGATGCTGTTTTACCAGTCAGAGGAGGGCAACGAGGGCAGGGAGGCGTACCTGGAAAAGCGAAGGCCCGACTGGGGCCGCTTCGGGCGGCTGCCGTGAGGCGGGCAGCGGGCACGCGCGCTTGTGAGACAGGGCAGGGCCGCGCCGCGCCCGGCGGCCGCGCGGCGGCTGCGGCTCGATTTGGACTGCAGGTTATTGCTGATGTGACAGTCTTGGTCTTTTTACCGGTGCGCAGGGGTTGCGGTGACGCCGATGCCGCTGCATCGTATTGTAAACATAGGCTGACTGGCAGGATTTTTCTGACATGCATGTTGGCGTCCAACGCTATTGCGCTGTAACTTATTTGGCTCTGAAATCGGGCTGACCCTCTGGACATGGCAACACGCGCAGCAGCCCAGCCAACCACAGGCCCCTCCCCCGAGCACGCGCAGCTTTTGCACTGCCCAACAGCCAGCAGCACACACCCCACGCCAGCGCCGCGCCCGCCAGTGCTGGCAGCCGCCTGAGGGCTCACGCCTTGGCCTTCAGGGACACGTGCTGCCGCTCCCGCGCCTCTACATACCTGCGGCGACGAAAGCGTGCCGCTCAGCAGAGGGGCTTTGCTGGGTTGCTTTCCGCGGCAGCCCGCAACAGCCCGCAACCCCCGGTGACTGTGCACACACACCAGCGACAGCTGCATGGGCGCCCCTTTCCCCCCCCCATAACGCCCTGACCGATTGCATGCAAGGCGCCGCCACAGCAGCTGTTGCCCCTCCCCCACCGGCCCCTCCCGCTCACTCGCTGAAGTCGGTCTTGCGCAGGTGATGAGTCATGTCCACCGGCTCCAAAAGCTCTGATGGATACGATGCATACGTGCTCTGGTTGGTCGATACTGGCGTGGCGCTCGTGCCCGGCAGCATGCCGGGGCTGATGCGCTTCCAGATGCGTAGGCTGCGCTCGCCCGCGCTGAGCGACGCGTACAGCGCCGCAGTCGCCGGCAGCGGCGGCGGCGGCGCGTCGGGCAGGGTCGGCGCCGCGGGCGGGCCCTTTATCAGCGTGGCACCCTCGGCGCTGACCCACGCGTAGCCCGGGCGAGGGCCCCATGCTGAGGTGGCGGCTGGCACGTGTGCAGCGCCGGCGAGGGTGGAGGGCGAGAAGCTGCCACTGCTGCTGGGAGCGGCTTGCTGCTTGGTGCTGCTGGTGCCTGTTTGCAAGTGCACTTGGCTGGGAGGCCGCAGGTCTGCAGCGTGCCGTGCCCCTGGGGGATCCTGAGAGCGTGAGCGGCAGCGGTGCGAACGCGTTGCTGCTGCCCCAGCAGCGACCGACAGCACAAGCCAGCAGCGCCCGGGCATGCAGCAAGTGCCGCGCCCCGGCTATCCCGCATGGCATCTAAGACGCAAATTCTCACGAGTGACACGCCGTGGGAGATTATGCGACCCACAGTAGCCGCGAAACCGCTGACATCGTTCCTGGGGTCCCACTGACTCTGCAGATTACGAATTCAGCGAGTCAACGGCGCGAAAGTTTCTTTAAAATCTATTATTTCAGCACACATGCCAACTTACCGCATAGAACCGAGATGTGTGTGCCATCGCATTCAGTCCGATACAAAAGAGCGCAGGGGAGAACACAACAAAATGTTGATATTCATGTGTATGCTCGGCGTGGGCGCGCGTGCACTTGTGAGGCCCAATCTGGCACGAGGGAGGGGCAGGGTTGACCTGGTCTTGACCGAGGTACGACGCCTGCAGCCGGAGGCAGAAGTCAAGCTCTGCTCCGTGCCCCCTAAAGCCGTTCTCTCTGATAAAGCAGGGGTGCAGCTCTTGCTTCCCACACACACCCAGGCGTTGCGGGGTGAAGCGCAGACGGTTTTGAGCATAGTGCCTGGCAGGGCGGCTTTGCCATTGAAAAATTGTACGGCCAGGGCAGCAGATTGGACTACTGCCAGGCAGCTAGCAGAAGGCATACAAGCATATGTACGTGTAGATGACAGGCTGGGATGTTGTCTGATGAGGGGCCGCAAATGCTCTGGCCTGCCGTTGCCGATAAGGTAAACATCGAGCGCTTCGCTGCCGCTGCCGCTGCGTGCGACTGCCCAGCGAAATCGCAACACACGTTTGTAGCAACAGATGCTTTAAAGGTTCTTCAATTGCAGGGGTGTTGCGAGCTCCACAGATGCACAAAGCATAAGTTCTAGAAGTTCAGGCTTACCCCTGACAACGCTGCGTGATCAACACCTTGCCCAGGCCTAAGCTCTGTAATGTGGGGTTTTAGCAGTGCACTTCAAGACCCCACCGCGGCAGCAACAGACAGGCTGGGGTGCCTGCTGCTGCGCTGCCGCCGCGCGTGCGCTCTGACGCCTGCCGCGCGCCACACGCCGCGCCGCGCTGCGCCTCAAGCCGCCGCAGGCTCCCGGGCCGGCTCCTCGGCCCCCGCTGCGCCCTCCTCCTGCGGCGGCGCCAGCTTGACGCGCAACACCGCGGCGCCGCTCGACGGCGGCGACGCGAACAGCACCTGCACACGCGCGCGCGGTGGGGCGGTCCCAGGACGACATTGCGGCAGCTGCCATCATGACTCAAGCACCACTGGGGCCAATCGGGAACGAAAGCATCGTGCACGCGCCACCTGCCAAGCCATGCAAAGAATCACCAGCCCAACCAGCCAGGTCCCCTCCTCGCCAGACATGCCCGCCCGCCTGGCGCCGCCGGGGACCCCGCCGCCCCGCGGCCCCTGCGCGCGTACCTCTGGCATCTCCCCCTCTGTTACGCGCCCCGCTTTGAGCAGGGGGTCAAAGTACTCCTCCCGCAGCCGCTGGATGAAGGGCCCGACCTGCTCCCGCTGCACCAGGGACACCGTGCAGCCGCCCCAGCCGGCGCCTGGGTACAGTGTTCAGGGGAGTAAGGTTGAGGGTTCAGCGAGCCCAGGGCGCAGGGGCCAAGTGCGGCGCTGGTGCCGGCGGCGTCCCCAAAACACAGCGGCCAGGACGCTGCCCACAGCTCGATTGAAGCATATCGCGCGCACCCGTCAGCCGCGCCCCGAGCGCGCCGGCGCCCTTGGCGACCGCGACCAGCGAGTCGAGCTCGGGGCAGCTGCACTCGTAGAGCTTGGAGCAGCTGGCGTGGCTCGCGTCCATCAGCGCCCCCAGGTCCGCCATCGCCGAGTCCCCGCCGTCCTGGGGGGTCGAAAAACCCGCCGAGGGGCGGTTTCGGGAAGGGCGACGCGATACGACAAGGCGGGTCGGCAGGACGGCGCGAAGGCGTCGCATGGGACCCGGCCGGCGCGACAATTTCAAGGCTCGCCAACTCAGCAGCCACGCGTCCCCCTGCCCTGCCACGACACGCGGGCGCCCGACACAGCGAAAGAGGGCAGTCCTGCGCCCCGCTCTCACCGCGGCCGCGGCCTGGAACGCGTAGACCCGGTCCGCCTCAGAGTACACGTGGGCCGCGCGGTCGCGCAGCTTGAAGCCCTCGTCCCGCACGACCCCCAGCACGCGCAGGGGGCTGGCCTCGCCCGCAAACACGTCGGCCAGGGGCACGCCCAGCTCCTCCTCGACCTGTGAATGTACAATGCGAATTAATATAAATTGACATGAGATAAGATGTGATGCAACACGTTTCGCGGGAGTGCGTGTGCATGCGCGTTGGCAGCACGTGTCGCGACGAGGACAAGCGCAGGCGTGCGGCGCGGCCGCCTGAGGACAGCTGAGCGTGACGCGCCAGCTGCGCGGCAAGCGGCCGCAGGCTCGGGGCGTGGCGGGCCGGGGCCGGCCCCCCTGCGCCTCGGGTTCGACAAGGGACCCGCTGGGTCCCAGAACTCACCCTGGGCTGCAGGTAGAGGCCCCCATCCAGGAGCTCCTCCACGGCTCGCAGCTGCAGGGGGCGCAAAAGGCGGCGGCGTCTGGGGTTGACTGCCATGGCGCATCAACCACCACTCCAGCAGGCACGCCCTACTCCGCGCCGCGACCCCAGGACCTTGCTGCCCGTAGGCCCCAAACCCAATTCTCAGATGCCGTAATGAATCGCGCGACGCGACCGGCCCGATTTGAGCGCCTCGCTTCTCATCAGCCTGGATCAGCCTTCCGACGCTCCTTGCAGCGGCCGCGACTCGGCGGCCCGCCCGCGCGCACACCTTGCCCTTGAGCCCCTCCCCGTACTTGGCCGCAATGAGCGGCTCGACCTCCCGCAGCGTGCGCACGCGCGCAGCCGCGTCCGAGGGGCTGCCCAGCTTGCGCGCGATGAGGGCGGCGGCCAGGCGGCACTCGACAACGCGGAGGTTGTACCTGGCGGTTGGACGCGGTTGGGAGGAACAAAACAGTTGGTTGGTCGATTGATTGATTTGTTGGCCAGCTGGCTGACTGGCTGATTGGTGGTGTAGAAGTGGACACGGAGGGGGGGGCTCAGGGTGGGGCTGTCTGCTTCCAGCGTCGGACGCGGCCCGGACATGATATGGCTGCAGACAATACAGGCATGCCGGGCGAGCGTCCCCGCCAGCCTGCCGGCGACGCCGTCCCCTCCAGCCACGCGGCCGCGGCTCACTTCTTATCGGCCGTCTCCTGCTTCTTCGACACCGTCAGCGAGTTGGCGATGACAAACGTGGCCGGCTGCGGGAGGTGCACGTCCTCCGCCCGCACCTATTTTTTTGGGGGGGGGGGGGGCGCAGGATGGCGGATGGGCGCCAAGCACGCAGGAGCGCCGCGATCGCACAACCCTTCTCTGCAGTGGTCGAAACGAGCACGCAAAGCATGGCCTGCAAGGGCTTTGCCTGACATGGCGCGCCGCCGCGTTCCAAGCTGTTTGGACGCCCCCCCCCCCCCGGTCGCCTGGGTGCTGAAGACTCGGCGATTTTGCAGCCATCACAGGCGCAGGCCCCTGCCGCCTCCGCCTCGCTCCTTTCTCGCCTCTTCTGAAAGCACACACCGCGCACTCTGGGTGCTGCTTCTCCGAGTGCCCCTCACACACGCGGCACCCGAGCCCCACCGGGTTGAACTCCACGAGTTTGGCCACGTTGGGCTGCCCCATGACGCTGATGGCCTGGTCCATGCCGCCACTGGTGACGCCCACGTACCTGGAGGCGGAACCCCGAGGAGGGGGGGTGGTGGGGGAGAGGGGGTGGCGGGCGCTGGCGGCGTGAGGCCTGATCGAGCCTGCGCAACACGGGGCAGGGCTTGCCAGCTGGCGCGATTCGGCCGACTCCCGGGACGGCTGCTGACCGAGCCAGGCGCCCCCAGCAAAGGGCCTTCCCCCATTCCCCTGCTGCCTTGCCGCCCAGACGGCACCCCTACCCCCCTCCCCTGCGCCACCACACAGATGTGCACAAACGCCCGTACGCGCTCACTCACAAACACACACACACACATACGCACACGCACGCACACACAGACACCCACCGCTCCGCCTTGCAGGTGAAGTCCGCCACCTCGCCCTTTGTGAGGGTGATGCTGTTGACCGCCAGCACAGCCAGGGCCGAGGAGCACACGATCGCGGCGGAGCTAGACAGGCCGCCGCCTGACGAGGGGCAGGCGGCCAGTCGTCAATTTGCAAACGGATTTTACAGAGCAATGATCAATGGTTTGGCAATTAGTAAAATTAGTACAAATAGCGATGGGCAGAGCCTCCCTGCTGACAGCGTCAAATACTCTGGCAGTAACTGGCCTGGCCACGCGGCTCGAGCGGCGCCGCCCGCAAGCGCCGCCCCGCGTGCGCCCTGCTGGCAGGCCGTTGCGCGCACGCGGGCGGGGCCCCCTTGCTCATTCATGCGCGCCCCGGCTCCCAACTGCTGCGCACCCAGGGGTACGATGCCGTGTATCATGACCTGCAGGCCGGTGGGCTTGGGCAACTCCTCGCCCTTTGAGCTGAGGTGGTCAAACACGCCCTGCGGTGCAGCGGCGGACCAACAGGGGCGGTGTGCTCGAGCTGAGCAAACCCGGCACAGAGCCGCTGCCCAGCGCCCCCCCCCCCCGCGCTGCCTGTAATG